CCCGAGTTGGGCTCCATGCTCAGCGGGGAGTCTGCTTGTCCCTCTTCCTCTGCAACCCCCCATTCTCTCTCTTTCTCTCTCTCTCAAATGAATAAATAAAATCTTTTTTAAAAAGCCTATTACAGTGTTATGTTGACTTATGACACAGGTTAGAAGACTTTCCATTCAAAATAACAAAAATTAAATAGTTGTGTTGCTCTAAAACCCTAGTCTAGCTATGGGAAGAACCCAGTTCTACAAACCATGTCCTTCCCGGCTCTGGAAGGCCGAATTTGGCTCTGGTTAGACTGCCCTCTGGTGGAGACCTTGCAGGAGGGCTGGAGGCTAAGGGACCATTATATTCTCACTTAACACAACAAAACAAAAACACGTGCACACAATTCCCCTCCACTGCTTGGACAAAGTGATTTTTTAATGGAACTCTCTGTCTCATTAGCCAACAGTCTACAGCATGGGCTGGAAGTAGATATGCTGTGGTGTGGACTCTGGGCTCTGGTTGTTGAATATGCTCTCCTTGTGAGGTCTACTGATCTCTACCATGCTCTTCGGTGCACAAAGCATTGGTTCAATCCTTACAGCAACTCTTGGGATGGGCACGTTGATCCCCATTTTAACGATGAGAACACTGAGATTTATAGAAAAGCAATGACGTGCCCAACATCACACATCAGTGTATTGGGTCATCCATTATTCAATATGCCAAGTAGACCCAGGGACCAGGAGCTGAATAATCCCCTCACATGGGCTCCGAGTATGCTATGAAAAAATCATTATGTATAGTGGTGGCTGGGATGTAGGGGGTGGCCCAGGGGACTGGGGGAATGCTCAGAAATGGTATTTATACAGAGTTGGGCATGAAGAGTCCCCAGAAGTGGAGCAGTTGAGCTCAGTCTTGAAATAGGAGGGGCACCTTCCCAGGTGACAAAAGCTGGGGAATGTAGGCCTCCTGACCTTGTAAAATCTCCCTCATAATATAATGCCTTGTAATATGTGTATGATCCAGCATAAAACTAACTTGAATATATATTAAATCTTTTTGCTTTGATCAGTAAGTTTAAATTTTTTAAGTTTTTTTTTTTTTTTATCAGAGAGAGAGAAAGACAGAGAGCACAAGCAGGGGGAGCAACAGAGGGAGAGGGAGGAGCAGACTCCCTGCTGAGCAGGAAGCCTGATGAGGGACTCGATCCCAGGCCCCTGGGATCATGACCTGAGCCGAAGGCAGACGCTTAACCGATTGAGCCACCCAGGCATCCTAAGTTTAAATTTTTAAAATTATCACTCTTCCACAAGCAATTTGAGTTCATTACTAAAAATTCTGAACATTACAGAAACAAAAATAATAAATACTTTGACAGATTTCAGATCCTTTTTTTCTGCATAAAGAACCACGTATGTATCAACCCTAACAAGACATCAGGAACACTCTCCTGGGTCAACGAACATAGGTGTTCAACACAGTTTGAATGTTTGCAGAGTGTTAAACCCTGTGGTTGCACCACCATGTATTTGGTCGATACCCTGCTGGTGGACACCAGGGCCATTTACTGAACAGCTCTGAAACTAAGCCAAGCTGAGCTGGAGAATGGGGCCGAGATACAAGCAGCTGGGGACAAACCAGGTAAAAATTACTCAGCGACCCACCCCTGCCTTTCTTGTAAGTTATTTGCCTTAGATGGAGCTGCAATTCTGAAAGCTAATCTGGGTGTTTTGCAAGAAGAACAAATAAGCAGAAGTACCCTTTGGAGCCTTAAAAGTTGACATGGGTTGTGTGCAGTAAAGTCTCAGAGACTGGCTGAAATGGCCTCTGGGTGCAGGTGGACGTGGGGAAACAGCAGACTTTTCATCTTCCTGAGGATGCGTTCGTTATGGGCGGAGATTTTGAAATGCAATACAACCCTGTAAACACACACACACACACACACACACACACACACACACACAAGATTCCCTTGTCACCTTATCTTGTTTTGAAAATGGAATTCGTGTCCACAAAAGTGAGGTGTGCTTCTCTCGTAATGAAACCTTACAAGATTCTCTGAGTTCCAATACGGACAGGAGTATTTGAATGGCGTGTCCTTGAACTCAATACACCTTGGCTACTTCTTCCCTTTCTTCCCCTCTCTTCACCCTCTCCTAGTTTTTCGAATACCAACTTTGTGCCAGGTGTTGCAGGCACTGGGGATACGTAACGGCAATGTGCAGAGCTGACCTGTGGGGACCTTATTCACAGCCCCTGGCGCAGTCGACAAATCTACAAATGCACATGTGAGGGCAACATGTGTAGGTCTGAGGGAAGCACGTATGATTCTATCTACAGAGGTCAAAGAGGTTCCCAGAGCAGCTGACGTTTGAGCTGCATCTTGCCAGGAAACAAGGGGGAAATGCTTGTGCAAAGGCACCAAGGGTGAAATCATTAGTCCTACGTGTGCAGAGAGAAGTACAAGGCGCCCGGAGTGCTGGGAGCCTGTCAGAGGCTGGAGAGGGACCAGGGCTTTCCGTGGCATGGAGGCAGACAGGTTTTCTGCCACACACGATGAGGAGGCACGAAAGGGCTCTTAGTGAAGAAATTACAATATGCGATCGGTCATGATCTTTCTTGGTTCCTTGCCTTCAAGCATCATCCACTCTGAAATGGCCCTCCCAACCCTATCTTCCTTTTCTCTGGCTAACTCTGATCATCCTACACGTTTCAGCTCAAATGTCCCTTCCTCCAAGAGTCTTTACCAGAGACATCCCTTCTAGTTCTGACACTGCTACTCAGTCTCCACCTCATGACCTGTCATGATGGGCCTCTGTCACCTGTAAAATGAGGATCACAACATGGTCTCACTTCTAGGCAGGGGCAGGATGTAAGGAGCCGAGGGGACAGGGACTGCAGAGGATGGTCACTGCTGATTAATCTGTCCCTGGGACAGTAGCAGGGAGGTGACTGTGGAGCCAGGTCAGGGTCCTGAGAAGACTGGATGCTGGATGGGGGTAGGGGTGGGGCACTCATGGGCAGAGGAGGGATGGGAGTTGTCGGGGGAGGAGGTGGTACCTTGCAGATGGTTTGGGGACGGTGGTGGGGCAGAGAGAGCTGAGAACAGCTGTGACAGGGAGAAGCGGGAAAGTTCAGGCCCAGAACTGCCACTTGGGCCTCCTCCCCTGAAGAGCATTACCAGGCTTGGGGCAGCCCCCGGAGGAGCTGGGCAGAGCCTCACGGGCAGGCCATCAGCATGGTGTCCTCAGTGAAGAGACGGAGAGAGAGCGAGAGAGTGAGAGAGCCTCAGGGATCTCTGAACTCGAGGGCACCCAGGCTGCAGTGATGCCCAGTCATTGGACCACTTCCTGTTCCCACTACGTGTCCCAGTGGAGGCACTAGACTCTGACAGGACTGGGGGGCTCTCGAGGGTAGAAGTTCTAGCTCCGCAGCAGGGCGTGGTGCAGAGAGAGTGCCCGGTAAAGATTTGTTTCATATCTTGTAACCTCTATGTTGAACAAACCCAAGTGGGACATCATCAAAATACATTTTTATTTTTGTTCTTCCATCCTTTTAAAATGTGCCTAGGACCCTTGACTTCTCTGTTCTCACTCAGGCAGTAATTGTCTTGCAGTCACTGGGTTGTGAATAGTCTCACTCAAATAATTAGAAAGGCTAGTTTGTGTGATAATAATAATAATAATAAAAATCAGACTGGAACTTAGCATTCAGTCTTGCCCCCTCCTCCTAGCTGTAAGGGATGGTTGGTGAAAACCTGCTGTGTGAGTGGCCGGTGGTCAGCTTCTCACCTTCTCAGCTCCTGTCGCCACTACTTGCTAGTGAAGGCTGGCAATCGGTGGGGTGCGAGGTAATCAGGGGTCAAGACAGGGTCTTGGTGGGACTGTGGCTGGGGGGAGCCTCGTCAGGAGCCAGCTATCTGAAGCTAAGGCTCTCACTTGTCCTGCCTTCATGCGCTCTTCAGAGACCCCCCTGTGGCTCCCTGTGGCCACAGCCCCTGTGACGTGGGTGGTGTGTTCCTGTCTCTTTGAATGTCATTCCCCTGAGCCCCTGGTCCGCTGGTGGCCCACTGTGCATGGCATCTCACTGTTGGGGACCCCTCGGCCTCCCAGGCTCTGCTCTCCCGCAGAGCTTGAAACCCTGCTGGCCAGGCTCTTCGGGGCCTGGGAAACACTGGCAGGTCCTCACGGACGAGTCCTGGGGAAGCAGCCCCGTCCTGTGCAGGCTCTCCTTCCCAACCTGCTGCCCAGGCTGCCTCAGCTCTCAGAGACCTTACTGCACCCCCCAGTCTGTGGGAACACAGCAGGGATGGCCCGCTGCAGCCATGGAAGGCCCCTGGTCAGGCTTGAGGGGAGGAGGCTGCCCACCCCCAACACTCTTTGAAAAGGACACGGGCTCTTGGCCACAGTGCCCTGCAAAGAAATCTCTTCACAGAGCCTCCCCTCCTCGTCGGACATGCACAGACCCTTCCGTCTCCTCAACTAGGGGACGGGCCTCAGGGATCACAGAACCTGCTGGAGGAGGTTTCCTCTGGGAATTCTAGATATGGGGAGCTGGCTCACACCCAACTCCGTGGGGCCCGGTGAGACGAGACCCGTCTGCCAGATCTGCTACATTGCGGCTGAGAAAACCCGGACGGGTGGAACGTCAAGTTCAGCCACTCTGAGTTCACTGCTCCTTTGTTCTGGCCCTCCTCCCTCACTAAATGTCTGTTCTGAGAGTCGGAAACCCGCAACCAGCGGGGGACTGGACAGCCCTAACATCTAAGCAGTCTTTATTACATTCAGTTTGGATCGCCTTTAAGTCATCAATTTTTTGGTGAGGCCATTGGCTGGGACTAAATTCAGCAGAGGATGGAAGTGGCTAAGATTGCTCCACAAACTTGCTGTGTAAATGTGGGCCTATCGCTCTCGTAATTCCACTGAATGGCAAGTAACCTGTACCTACAGGTTACTTGCAGAAAATCAGCATCTCCTTGAGGTTAGCAGAAAATCAGCAGCTCCCTGAGGTTCGCCCGTCTCGCTTGTCTCAGATGGTCGGAGAAGGTCCTGGTGGGCGCGGGACAGCCCTGGGATCCGCCCCGGCCGCCGCTGCCGCTGCCCGGCGCTGCCACACGGTGGCGCCGTCGAGAGACTCGCAGCCTCCACAAAGCGGCTTTTGTCCGCATCTCCGCGTCGCCGCTCAGCCTCTCCCAGGGGGGGGTGACCCCATTCCCTCAGCCGTAACCTCAGCCGGGGGTGACCCCCGCTCGAGCTCACGAGGTTGCAGCTCAGCTGAGTTCTGCCTCCAGTGTTTTTTCACAGCCGCCGTCCAGGTGCCCGCTGGGCGCAGGAGCCCCCAGGGCCGCACAAGCTCCCGAATCCCAGCGAGCCTTTGTTTTCCACTCCCAACACAAAGCGCGCCGTTATCACCTCCCCGTCTGGACAGGGGGCTCCTGGCATCCATCTAGGCTTCTGAGAAAAAGACCCTCGGTGACTCATTAAGGGAGTCCAGGATGCCCTAGCTCTCTCTGCCCCTTCCCTTCACCTCTGCTTAACAGCCCATGAGGGCCAAGTGGGTTTTCTGTCTGAGTCTACAGGCCAAGAAGTTGGTACTTTTCTCAGGAAAGCAAAGGACTACAAGTGTAATCTTTTAATCCTTCCCAGGCACCCCTCTTGTAAGACACTCTGCCTCAAAGTAAAACTGTCTAACATGCTTTAAGATCTAGAACAGTCTGCGGCCCTGACCTTCAGAGCAGACCTCTGGGAGCACATTTGAAATTGGTGCAGCAGTCAACCTCTCGCCCTTAAGGAAGTGACTTTAGATTCCAAGAGCTTGCTCATGCATGGCAATTCGTTTTTAAAGCTTCCAAGAGCAAAGGGTAGACTCTGTGGAGCTGCAGAGTGGGGAACCTGGTGTTTTTGTTGCAGAGATCGAAGTCACGAAGTGCTGGATGTCACACCGGTGACTAAGCCGCCTCTTTACTGAGTAGGAGCCAGGCACCGAGGGGAGCAGGGTGGGATGGTACATCCCCAATCCAGGATAACCCCGGCTGCCAACTTTGAACATGGGCATAACTCAAAGCATCTGTGGGGGGGGAGGTACTCGGCATATGTTATTTCTTATCCTCATGACCAGTCTCTTCGGTAGGTATTAATTACCTCCCCCCCCTTTACAGATGAGGAAAGTATGTCTCAGAGAAGTTAAGTAACTAATCCAGTGTCACAGAGCTAGTTATTAGTGGAGTTGGGACTCAAACCCAGATCTCAGGACTCTACAGCTCCTTCTCGTCCCCTCACACTGTGCTGCCTCTCGAGAATGGTGTCTACCTTGGGAGAGGATGGCAAGGGGAAGATAGCTGGGAATGGATCTTGCCCTGTTTCATGGTTCCTTGTGAAATTCCAAGTTTAGACAAATCATAGCGTGGTCTATGAGTCAGCCATGAAAATCATTCTGACTTACAGTCCCTGGCAGAAGGAGTGGGTGGGAGCAAAGGGCACAGAATGAACATGACCACTTCTTTTTCTTGGTGGCATGTGGGCTTCTTGTTAATGTGTATCCCCTTTCACATCTCTGTGTCTTTGCCCCCACGGCTCCTCTGCTTGGAGTTACTTCTGCTCTCTCCGCTGCTCCACCCGGGGAGTCTGTCTCCTCTGCAGAAGAAAGCTTTCTTTCCCCATGGCTCCCCTAACACCCAGGTGGAGTTAAGCACTCCCTCATCTGTGTTCCCATTGTTCTCGCCCAGGCCCCAGGGCAGCAGACACTGTTCAAGGCATTATCCATTGTTTGTGTAGGCCTAGGGCTGCCATGGTGGGAGAGGAATTCTTGTTCACTTGAGACAAAAGCAGATACAGGGAATGAGCCCCAACCCTTGGAAGAACAAGGAGTTCTGAAGGGGTCTCCCTCAAAAGGGGGCTGTGGTCAAGGCGGGGAAGCTGGGCCAGGAGCCAGCACCCAGAGAGGGTGGTGGGAGTGAGCACAAGTCAGGTCCCAAGGTGCACGTGGTGCGCTGCCGGCGCACAGATGGCCAGTCCTCGGTGAGTGGTTGACCAATGGGGGAGGAAAGGCCAAAGTGATGAGCAGCCTTTCTTGGCCAAGCCTGAGGCTGTGTTGGTCATGGGCGGTGACCGCAGGCGGCAGTCTGGGCTGAATTCCTCATGCTCCGGGAACTTCCCCTGGTGTTTCCCAACTGGCTTCCCCACGGGTGTGACCGAAGACCTGGACTGCTCCACCTGGCAAACCACACCGACCATCCCAGCCGGCTGCGTTCTGAGCCCGGCTTTCCCCTGCAGGCGCCTGTTTCCAGCCCTCCATGGAGGACTCAATCCCCTCCATTTGGGGGCCAGCCCCTACTCCTGGCTATGAATCTAATTGTGCCCCTCACCCCCTTGTTTTTCTAACTGGGTGTTGGGAATTTCCTTGGTTAAGCCTCCAGGTCTTCCTTCCTTCTGGATTTAATGAGCTCATTTATTTTTCTTTTTCACTTAGCAGGTTTTAGGGCTGGTTAATGAGTGGTGGGGTTCTCTTTAAGAGCCAAGTTGAGCCAAGCTCAGGGCACTTTTCTTGCCATTTCCAGTTCTCAAGTCCCCAGTGTCTCTTACAGTCTCTCCCCAGCTCTGGCAGCCACTCTCCTCAGTGCAGTTCCCATCCGTGGAAATTTCTGGAATACAATGACACATCGGCCTCAGGGTTTTATTTTGTTTTGTTCTTCACATATCTTCCCTGGGACAGTTGTTTCAAGATGGCCTGTGCTTTCTAAAAAGAAGAAGCTGTTGAAGCGCCAGGGAAAGAGATCCATTTTTTAAATGCAGGGTTTCCTCTTTAGGTTTTGTCTGAAGCTTTTGGTAGATTTTGGGGTGGAGGTTGGCTGTGAATTCCAGGGAGACTTGCCAGAGGCTATTTAAACCTCCTTTGTGTGAAGTGTTGTAAAGAGCTGCCAGGAGGGGAGGGAGCACTAATAGAAGGGAACTTGGAAGCCTTGCTGTGGTGGCTGGCACTTGGGAGACTTTCAGCCCAAAGAGAATGAGAAAGAATGCAGGGTCCATGTGGCAAGGACAGGGATCCACAGGGACTCAATGGCTTACTCGGTTCCCAGAAGCAACTTGAGGTAATGACTTCACAGCTGCTTTGGTGAATCACATACCACAGAAAGTTTAGCCCAAGGAATCCCCTTGCCTGTTTGTCCATTCATTTGTACATCCATCCATCCATCCATCCATCCATCCATCCAATAAACAAAGATTAAGTACTTGATGTGAGGCAGACACTGGGTTAGGCCCTGGGGGGCAGGAGGAATGATTGGACCCAGTCCTATCCCACAGGTCATCTCCACACATTTCCGAGAGTGAGGACCCTGTGCAGGAGAGTCAGACAGACAGTGGGAAGGCACCAGAGGGTAGGTCCCAGAAACCTCCTCATGCTGTGCTTAGTTTGCAGAGCTGTTGTTAACTCCTCTTTTCCTGCTGAACTCCTGAAGCTTAGGCACCACACTGCCCTCCTGAGCTCCACTCCCCCCTGTGAAGTCACAGCCCTCAGCCTGCCTCTGCAAAGGGTCTAGGCTGAGGGTGGCAATGGGCGGTCTGAGGTGCTTCCATCCCAGGTGAGAGCAAGGCTCCTGGGGCCAGGGTCACTGTGGCCCCAAACACATTTTTGAAGCTTGTTGTGATGTGCCCCTAGCAAAGATCAGAAAGAGGGGAGGCAGGCTGCCGTCAGCCGTGTCTGCTGGGTATTAGTTTGCCAGGGCTGCTGTAACAAAGCCCCACAGAATAGGCAGCCTGGGGAATAGAAGTTTATCGTCTCACAGTTTTGGAGGCTAGAAATCCAAGATCAAGGTGTCAGCAGGGTTGATGCCTTCTGAGGGCTGTGAGGGAGATTCTGGTCCAAGCCTCTCTCCTTGCTTCCGGCGGCTTGCTGGCAGTCTCTGGCACGCCTCTGACTTTGAGCAAGACCATCCCAATCTCTGCCTTCATCTTCACAAGGTGTTCTCCCTGTGCATGTCCCTCTGTGTCTAAAGTTTCCCCTTTTATAAGGATACCAGTCCTGTTGGATGAGGGCCCCTTCTGGTGACTTAGCTAATTACATCTGCAATTACCCTATTTCCAAATAAGGTTACGTTCTGAGGTCCTAGGGGTTAGACTTTAAGGTAAGAATTTTCGGGAGACATAGTTCCAACCATAACACCATGTTTCTGACTTTACTGCCCTCCTGCTGCCATCAGCAGTGCCTACGAGGAGAGCGCCAGAGTGACTGTACCTCAGAAAGGGCTGTGGGGGGTGGGTGCCCTAGGGAGAAATCAAAGGGTGGTCTGGAAGCAGGGAAACATCTGCTGGAAGGAGAGCGTTTGTGCTGGAAAGCCGTCTGGCCCAGGGAAGTCTGCTGGACCGGCAGCTAGCAATGCAGGGATTTGGTCCTCTATGCCTTTGTGTCTAGAACTGGCAGGAACCCAGATGGAAGGAAAGCCCCCAGCAGGCAGCCCTTTTGCCTGGGACAGAGTTGCCAGAGGAGAGCAGGGGCAGGCTGCCCCGAGGATCTGGGTGAAGTGACCCCTGGAACCTGAGGGAAGGGGGAGAAAAGCAAGCAAGGTCCCGAGTTCTGAGGTATGTGGGCGAAACTGGTGTGTGGGGCTGCCCGTGAGGGTGCCCGTGGTGACTGAGGCTGTGTGAGTGACTGGGCCTTCCTTTGTGCAACCATCCAGGATTTGCCGAGACTCTCTTAACCGCATCCTCTTTGAAACACAGAGGAATTTATTTAAAAAGCATAATTATAGTGTGTCATTTAATAGGGCACTTGTGGACTTTGACAGATAATTCTGAAAAAGAAAATTGGGAACACTTACCTCACCAAATATTAAAATTTAAGATAAAGTGACTGTCATCCAAAGGATGTATTTTGGCACATGAATAAATGGAATAATGGAATAGGCTCATGGAATAATGGAAGAGGCTGGATGTCAGGAACGGACATAGTATGTTGACATACTTAAAATCTGATAAAGGTGACATTTCCATTCAATGGGAAAATTATGACTGATTCAAGAAATGGTGTTGACCTAATTGGCTCTCCATCTGGGAGAAAAAAGCAAGGTAGACACCACCTCTTCCCTTTTGCTCCTGTATGCAGCAGGGACTCTCAGATGGGTTTGGTTAAGATCTGTCAGTAAACAAATAAACGCATAACGTATTTGAGGAA